GCATGTACATTCTCAGTTATTAACGCACATAAATACATTTCAAGCACATGCTAATACTGTATATTGCTGCCATATTGGTTTTCGGTTATCTCGATCATCGGTTATCTCGACGCTTTTTGGCAACCCCCTAGGCCGGCGACATAACCGGGTTCGACTGTATATGAATAATCAGCCTGTTCTAGTTTAAATGGAAATATATTATTGTTAATAAGCTGAGTCTGAGAGTTTTATTTATTTGATAGTTTATTTCACATTTCTTGTTTGTAAAGGCTAAATACAAAAAAAAAGTGAACCTTTTTTTTTTTGTACTGTTATTTTAAAAAAAAATTATATAATTTTAATAGGAGGAGCCTGGAGGTATTATAGACTTTGCAAATTCAGTTTGCAGACAACCATTATGCGTGTCCTCGGCAGTTTTTTCCTGAGGCTTTTTAATATTACCCACATCGATATCGGAATTATATCGTATCGACCAAAATTAAGAAATATATCGTGATATAAATTTTTGCCATATCGTCCAGGCCTAATCCATTACTTTTTTTTTCTGCTGCTTTTATTGTTTCCTGAGTTTGCAGATTTTTTTTTAGTAACAGCGTTTGTATTGCATTTCAGAGACAGACTGTTTGCATAAGCAGTCGACATAGAAAGTAAGTCCCCCCCCCCCAAAAGTACCGCAGTTGGTTTGGCACTTCTGGTACTCAGTGGAAAAGGGAGAAGTACCAAAAGTACTGTACGAAAAGTATATCACCTGGTGTGGTGGAAAGTACCCTTAATCACTTCTTCTGTAGAATGTGCTCAGTGAATATAGTAAATAATGCATAAAATGCTCCGTAAGATGTTAGGACTTTATCCAAACTGAGCTTCCTGTCCCTCATCACTTATTAAATGTAATTTGAGAAAATCCCTGGAGAAGAAACTGACATTTGACATTAATCTCCACAGTATCACCAAAAGCATTCAAGGTTAAAATAAACATAGCCGACATGCATGCAGTACATTTAATGTAAATGAACGTCCCTTTCGGTTGTTTTCCTTGTCCGATTTATGTCTTGGTTTACTGCTAGTATATGGTATGGTGAATGGTAATTTTAATATAAAACTCAACTGTTTGACATGGTTCTGAAGCCAGTGCTAAGAATGCAGATTGACATTTTAAATATTTTATTAACAACCAAATCGTGGCAAGACCCACTGAACGAATGTAGAGGTTATAATGGCCAATGGGAATCTGCACTTAAAATTAAATTTACGCTATGAAGGTTGGAAAGTCAGCAGGAAGCTCCAATAATCTCAGCAGTCTTGGCTAAATCACTTTTTATTGGATTTTTGCAATAAGATGCAACATCCGATTCACAGGGTTCCCACACGAAAACACCTGATACCGGAGCCGCATGCTTCCTGTAAGATCGGTCAAATGAATTTTGCGGTGCTTTAGTGTGACATCTAGCATTGTCTAAATTTAAGCATGGTGATTAAGGTTGTCATTCTATCTCGTAACGCAAAACCTATGGACTGCTGGGGGTCACAGTGACGGGCTGGTGAAGGCAAGAAACGCAGAGTAGAGTTTGAGAGAAATCTTCCTTGCAGCTATGTTGTAGGAGAGTTTTATGCGCTAGTGACATGAAGACCTAAGCGCATTCATTCATATCTATGTGTGGGTAGGAGCTCCAACATGTGTGCTGTGTGTGGGAGGCTGAGCCGTGCCCCCGAGACCGGCGTGCTGTGTTTGGCGGGCGGCTGCGGCGTCGTCACGGTGATCAGTTCCGAAACGGTACCAAATGTCGTCGCCGGTGGTAGAACATTCAGCAGACAGAGCCCCACCCTGGGAAGAGGCAGCCAAGTCACTCGCTTTCTAAATCTAATTGTACTTGTGGGAGAAAGGATGCAAAACACCACAAAACCAGGCAATAACTCACCGACTACAGCAGAGGCGTTAAAAAAAACAAAACAAAAACGGTTATGTGTGAAGAATTGTTCCCGGCAAGTCCCTGTTTCTGTCTCGCAAGAGCCGTTCCATGCTTTTACGACGAGGCTTTACACTTAAACACTTGCTTGAAATTGAACACTCCGGATTTGTGGTGAAATACTTTCACATAGCTCCAGAGAGTATAACCACTTATTCTGAAGTGCCGGTTGCTTGATAGGCCTATTGTTTAGCACCATGTTTCCCAATCTGGTGCTCGGGGACGCCCGGTCTGCATTTTTTTGCTCCCCGCCAGACGGTCTGCATTTTTTGCTCCGCATTTTTTTGCTCCCCACCAGACGGTCCGCATTTTTTTTGCTCCCCTGCCAGACGGTCTGCATTTTTTGCTCCCCACCAGGGAGCAAAAACTTGGACTGTCTGTGGATTCCCGAGGACTGGATTCAGAAACACTGATTTAGCAGAATGATCTTCAGGTTACAAGATGGTGGTGAATGTTAATTTCTTTAATACCCTGGTATTTAAGCTTGGAAGTGGATCATTTTACCTTATCAGGATAGTAGGATTTGAGTAATGATTAGCGTTGCATGTGTCCCAGGCCCTTGAGGCTAAGTACCTCACTCAGGGCTCCTGTGGCTGGTCCACCATTCACGAGGGGCCCCGCCTGCCTTTCCCTCATGACTACAGTGTGTATTATAGTTGAAAGTGTGTTTTTCTGGAAGTGAAAGCCTGCATTGCGGTGACGGTAACAGCCTGTCTGTCTGCCTGCCTTTCAGCGACGTGGATGCCGAACTCGGCCCACTGAAATCGGCGATGGTTCCTCCTTTCTTTATGACCGGTGTGTTCAGGGAAGTCTGTGTGAGTATTTCCTCTTAATGGGGCTGGATATCACCCCTGTTTTTTGTGAATGTTTTTGACAGTTAGTATTGTCCTATGCCAAATTAGCATATAGTCATTTTCCCCTGTAATAAATACTGCTGGTGTTTAAGTGACCCATGTAAGTGGTGGTATTTCTAAGGCCGGAGCCCTTCTTTAGTGATGCCGCCGTTTGTTTGGTTGCCTCCACATTTTGCACCCCCTCATCAAAGCTGCGCTCCGGGGCCGTCGGCTGCGGCTGAAGGTCGTGACACTGGGGGCTGTCATTAGCCGGTCTGGAGGAGCTGGATGCAGGGGGGGGTGCCACCCTGTTAATTGAGTGTTTCTGCAAGCTGGCGGGAGCGGTGGGACGGACCCCCATTTCCAGCCTTTGGAATGTGCCCAGTTATTTATTTTTTTTTTACCATCTTAGTTTTTAAATATTAAATAGGGTCATGAGCTTATATTACTTGGACATATTTCTGAGGCTGTACAGTAGATGTTTTATTTGACATAATTACCATTATTGGGGGCCAAGGGGGTTCGGTGGGTGGTGCTCTGGGTAGCTGAATAACGGGTGAGGGTTTGAATCTGACCCTCCCCACTAGGGATGCTCCTTTTGACCGTTTAACCGTTAACCGAAATAATTAATTTTGACCGAATATTACTATCAGTTAAACGGTTTAAAATGTTTTTATATATATTTTAATTATTAGTAGTAGTATGAAGTTTTGTGGCATCTCAGCTGAAGATCGCTTTTCACGTTCTAAATACACTGGGTTTGAATCGGCGACTGTGATTACAGGCACACAGGCTTAGCCCACTGAGCCATGAACACAGGTACGAGCTTTGCTGCTGAAAATGGAAACATTGGCGCAAAGCTTCAGCGGCAGAGACGTATCCGTGTGCTATATTGTAGCCGATCGGTGTAAACACTACCCAGACATTTGCTCTTGTTTTATTTCGGTTACAATGGGCGTATTCACATATTTCTTTATCTAATACTAACAGTCGGATTATCATGTTGTTATCATGCGAATAGCGCAATTTGCAAGTGGGAAGGCGATCAGAGCCGCTTCGAGACGCAGACGCTTAAGTCAGTCACTCTTGTTCTTTCTATTCGTATCACGAAGCTATAAAAATATATTTAGTTTCTACCTATATATATATTTGAAAAGTAGACCGTCCAAGGTTTCTGAGGGTGTTTTTTAAATGTGTATATGATAAAACCTCGCAGAGTTATTTAAATGGTTTGGCGAAATTTCTGTCAGATCCCGCCGGCGGGACCGCCGACCCCAGAGGAATTTAATATTCTAATCTAATCAGTTAACGGTTAATGTTCGGTTAACGAACGGCGGTTGTCGGTTGGGAAAATTAATCAAAATGAGCATCCCTACTCCCCACCGTATGCGTGTGTCTGTCTGTGGAAGGTGGAAGTACAGCCAGCCGCTGCGGGGGCATCCCACCCCCATGACTACAATGAGCCCTTGACGTAGGGATGCCGTTAGCTTAACCCGCTACTCAGAAACCTGCTGTTCGCCCCGTTTCTAAGCTGAGGGCCTTCTAGTTTTCAGTCGATGTCGTGAAACGTGGTTTCCGGGTTCTGGCCAAGCAGCTTGCAGGGATGTTTGTTTACGTTCCACTTCTGTAATTCAAAGGGGCTTACGGCGATCCCTCCAGAGGATTTTCTTGAACCGTTAGCGCAGTGCTGACAGCCTAGCGCTAGTCATTAAGCTAAGAGCAGCAGAATAAGAGATCAGCCATCAAATGTCTAACACCTGTAGCCTTTTCCAGCGCATTTTGCCTCTGCTTCGGCTCGGCGGTAATGCCAGTCGGGGGGGGGGGGAGACGGTAAAGGTGACTCGAGTGGTACTGACGCAGCCCGCGGAAGGTAAGAAGGAGAGTAAATGGTGCTGAGTATCCCGCAGGAGTAATATTGGGATATTGCGCGTGTCTAGCCTGAGCGCGTTTTCATCTGCCGACGGCCCTAAGCGCTCCCTGACGTTCCTCAATCGGCCAAAGTAATTGCGGCCTGCTCTCTAATTCACAGGCTCCATCTTGTCCTGACTGCTGGTGTATCAATGCTCAAGTATTAAATGCTCTCCTTTGTCCTCAGCTCCAATTTAGTTTTTTTTTTATTATTTCCTTTTGCTTGTTTTGGCAACGCCTCGGTACCGCATGCCGATGGCCTGCTTCACCCACTTGCTCAATGACGGCGGGCAAGGTGGTTGTGTTCCTCGCATTGCGCGAGTTTGGCGAGCAAGTCTGAACAATGCTCGCTAATCTGGAAGCATCGCCGGGCCCCCTGTGAGCCGGGCTGGCCCTGCGGCCGTGGTAATGAGTTTAGCGTCCCACCCCCCTACGCTGCACCCCCCACCCTCCAGATGGCGGCTCGCCATGTCGCGCTCAGCATTTCTGTAGTCCGTAGACCGATGAACAGGGACTCGTTGGGGTGGAATGCTTGTTCCCCAGGTCATCTAAGGGTCTTGCAAGTGGAAGTAGCTGGACCCGCTCACTCCCTGGTCTATATCAGTATGTTACGGCTTTCTTTAAATATTTCACATTTATTTGACTGGTTCTGTCCAAAGCAACAGACATGACAGGAAATCTTGGGTTCAGAGAACAGCGTCAGCCAGCACCCCTGGAGCAGTTGAGGCTAAGGGCCTTGCTGAAGGGCCCAACAGTGATGTGGTCGCGCTGCCAGCCACTGGATTTGAACCCACAACCATCCAGGCACAAATCCTCACCTTGCTGAGCCCCACAGCTCCCTGTTGAGAGAGCTTCCGCTGCCTGCTGGTTTGTGAGAAACGGCCCATTCCTTCATCCCGTGTTTCCAGTTCAGGGGCTTGTCATGCTCCTCCTGTGTTTAGCCAGACGCTAAACATAGATGCCTGCATGTCGGTGGGCCGGCAGCTGAAATCTGTAACCCTACCTAATGCACATGTGTAGTCCAGACAGTATCTGAACATAAAAGATGTCAGAGAGTTTGTTTGGACGGCTTGGATAAGATAACAGTCCTATATTAAGGCTTGACTTTTATTTTTTGTATTTTTATATACATTTATTTATTTATAAAATATTCATACACACTTTATAATATTATTTATATTATTTATGAGCTATTTGCACATACCCCAAAGCTGTTTGTAACCTACATCTGTTTCTCACCTTTTATTTATATCACCATGTTTATTTATTAAATAGGACATTTATATTTGTCTATCTCCATTTTTATTCTTTTTATTATATCCATTTTTTTGTACATTACTGCAGGAATGTGGCCATAGTGTGTGTTTCTATTCTTCAGTGTGCAGAAATATTCTGGTATTTCTGCTAATTGTTTAATACGTATGTTCCGGGGATAGCCAGCCCGGCTATCTCTGGCTTGACGCCTTACAGTAAACTTTGTGCGCCATCTGCAGCCGCCCATGCGAGTGCCAGCTCCTCACTCGGCGCCCATCTTGTCTTCCCTGGCAGGACCCGATGGCATGCTGAGGTGCGTGGCCAGCACAGAGCAGCGGCATCGCGGCGGAGTCAGCCGGACCTGAGGCGCCGAGGGTGGGAGGGGGGAGGGGCGGGGTGGGCAGAGGACGAGACATGGGCCAGTGTGTCACGAAGTGCAAGAACCCGTCATCCTCGCTCGGCAGCAAAAGTGGAGACAAGGAGTCGGGCTGCAAGTCTCACAAGAAGGGGGTGGGCGGGGCAGGGGCAGGAGGGGGGAGCGCCGGCGGCGGCCACAAGGAGGAGGCCGGCCCGGGCTGCGGCAAGTCTGCTGGCGACCTGCTGGCCAACGGCACCAAGACAATGGAGGTGACGGCGGAGACGGCGCCCCCCCCGGCCCCCCTGGGTGAGCAGCGCAGGGAGGAGCCGTCGCCCAACGGTGAGGAGTTCTCCCTGGTGCACGTGGAGGAGCTCTTCAGCTGCTACAAGGATGAGAAGGACGACGCCATCCTGGAGGAGGGCATGGAACGCTTCTGCGATGACTTGTGCGTGGATCCAGCCGAGTTCCGCGTACTTCTGCTGGCCTGGAAGTTTCAGGCGGCCACCATGTGCAAGTTCACGAGGTGAGAGACCAAGCCGGCTCTTCTTGCGGCCGCCGGACGGAAAGTGTCGAGTCCGAAAGGTGTCAGTGGTATTGTCGCGTCGATAGACCTAGTACCACGTCCCTCGGAAAGCTTGCGGTGTAAATATGTCAGTGGCCAGCAATGGGGCCTCTGCAGTTCAGCTGGAGGGGAGTGAGTGAAGGATTCTCAAGGGGTCCCGGTGCTGCAGAATGGTCGCTATGGCTATAGCAGAGCGTTTGTTGACTGCAGGGGAATCATGGCCGTCATCATCGAGGGGGTTGGGCTGTCGCTAACGACGGTGGCCAAGCAACTTCACGCGAAATGAAGGCTGGAGCAAAAAACATGTAGTTACCCATAATGCTAGTGCAAGAATTCATGTTTTTGTGGTGGCAAATGGCCCAGCTCATAACATGTCAGCGATTCAGTCCGACCTGTGACATGATCGTGATGCTGCTGCTGACCCCTGCCCCATTTTTATAGGTAGTTTTATAGGATGACATTTTTAAAGACACAACAATATTGTTTCACCAAGTGTGATTCGTGCCCCATCTCTTACTGCCTATTATTACTGTGAAATGCATGAAATATTTCATATTCTTATGATAAATGAAGAAATATGTTGTAGCAAATGAACATATGTAAGTTGGATCAACTCCCTTCAGATTGATTTGTAAAATCCAATTTTAAAATCTATAATCAAACTAAAGCTAAAACTTGATCATCAACACATTTAGGAAGAGAGAAAGACCAGTGAGACGGGCAACTTTTTTCTTTTTTTGACCCTGTGCAATAACCAGAACATGCCACGAACACTCATGCCAGCAACTAAAAGGTTAATCGGTAACCTTTGCATTGTCGGCCGTTCTGTTTTATTTATCGTCTGTAATCGGTTACAGTCATGGTTACTGATGACTGAGTGGATGGGGGGTGTCCCCAGGTGAGCCGAATGAAGGCCTGGTTGAGTGTCAGGCTCCTTCGCTGCTCGGGACAGGAGATGCTTTCCTGGGAAGGCCGAAGGGGCTTGATGACGGCGCTTCTGTAGCTGCAGCAGATTGTTCATGCTTCTCCCTCTGCTGGAGTTTGACACTTTCGCCTTTGTGCCTCTTAGCACCTCTGACTCCAACATGTCAAACCTGGAATGAGCCCCAGTGTTTTAGCATTAAATGCTAAAGGTTTTTTCTCTTTCGCCTTTCATCTTCTCTTGACACACCCCTCTCTCCTCTAGGCTCAGACACCAGCTATTTTATTGCTAACCTCTTGTACTAGTATCTTGTATTTTTTAAGGCTGGGAAATTTACCGTGTTAACACATAGCGTTAATTTTAAAGCCATGATGCGTTGCTGTTTCTTTAATCACGTCAATGCACATATTTTGATATCTGAATGGGAATATAGTATGAACAATGATTTTTAATAGAGTCCTATAACACTCCTTCCTGGTTCTAAATGATATGCCAATTTAGGTCATGACTTTGCGCAGAATCCCAGAATTCAAAGCTAAAATCAAAGCATTCAATTAGCGTCAATTGGTGAAGCTAATGTTACCTGGTTGACTTCGTTTTTTAAAAAATCATCAGACTGAGGCTTGCATAGGATTTGCAGTATTTTTTTTATAAAAGGCTTATGTCTTAAAATGTTAAGATTTTTTATGTTAAGTGCACCTTCAGCGGTTGTCAGGCTTTTGATTTTAGAACCTTTTGCCAATTAGGTATTGAAGTTTAGATTGATCACGTGGTCAGAATTAGCGTGTTGATCCACCTGTTTAGTACCTGTCATATGTACATGTGGTATATGCCATTAATTGTACTCCCCAGCTTTCCTGGAATATACACTATATTGCCAAAAGTATTGGGACACCTGCCTTTACACACACATGAACTTTAATGACATCCCATTCTTAATACATAGGCTTTAATATGGAGCAGGCCCACCCTTTGCAGCTATAACAGCTTCAACTCTCCTGGGAGGCTGTCCACAAGGTTTAGGAGAGTGTTTATGGGAATTTTTGACCATTCGTCCAGGAGAACATTTGTGAGGTCAGGTCCTGATGTTGGATGAGAAGGCCTGGCTTGCAGTCTCTGCAGGCCAGTCAAGTTCCTCCACACCAGACTCGCTCATCCATGTCCGTATGGACCTTGCTTTGTACACTAGTGCGCAGTCATGTTGGAACAGGAAGGGACCGTCACCAAACTGCTCCCACAAAGTTGGGAACATGGGGAAAGAGAAGCCAAAATGGCTTTGAATGCTGCAGCATTAAGAGTTCCTTTCACTGGAACTAAGGGGCCAAGTCCAACCTCTGGAAAAACCACCATACCAACCCCACATCATAACCCCCCCTCCACCAAACTTTACTCTTGGCACAATGCAGTCGGGCAAGAACCATTCTCCTGCCAACCGCCAAACCCAGACTCGTCCATCGGATTGCCAGACAGAGAAGCGTGATTCGGCACTCCAGAGAACACGTCTTCACTGCTCTAGAGTCCAGTGGCGATGTACTTTACACCACTGCATCCAACACTGCATTGCACTTGGTGATGTAAGGCTTGGATGCAGCTGCTCGGCCATGGAAACCCATTCCATGAAGTTCTCTATGCACTGTTCTTGAGCTAATCTGAAGGCCACATGAAGTTTGTCTGTAGCTCTTGACTCTGCAGACACTTGGCGACTTCTGCACACTGTGTGCCTCAGCATGCGTTGTCCCCGCTCTATGATTTTACGTGGCCTACAACTTCGCAGCCGAGTTGCTGTTGTTCCCAATTGCATCCACTCTGTTATAATGCCACTAAATTTCACAAATGGATTTATTGCACAGGTGACATCCTATCACGGTACCACTCTTGAATTCAAGAGTTACCACTCTATGAGCTCCTGAGAGAGACCCATTCTTTCACACATGTTTGTAGAAGCAGTCTGCTTGCCTAGGTGCTTGATTTTATACATCTGTGGCAATTGAACTGATGGGAACACCTGAATTCAGTGATTGGGAGGGGTGTCCCAATACTTTTGTGTATATGGTTTTAGCACCAGTCCACCACTGCAGACTCTTTGACATGTGAGTCTATAACTAAAAAAAAAGCCTTTTGCGGGCTTCCATGTGCCTTCCATGTGTATTTTATGGGTGAGGAACTAAAACTGATTATATTTTGAACCAGTTGTTCAAAAATTGAAGCAGTGCCAGATAGTGATAGCAAAAAAAGGGAAGTTTTGGAATTGATCTCGTTAATACGAAAACTCAAATTTTTTGATAGTTTTTCGAAATTTGCAACGGCACTGTATGGGCACCAAAGTAGAGGTGATTAAATTTTGAGGCAGATCTCCCTAAAACTGAAGTGGCGCCACTTAGTGACGGCAAAGGGTAGGTGAAAGCAGATGACTTTTGGCCTTGTGAATATGATTGTCAAAACGCATGAATATTGATTACTTTTATTACTGATCTACATCTGATTTTATTTTCAGTGAAATTGCCCCAAAAATGAAGTAGCAGCACTGTGTGGCGGTGAAAGATGGAAACAGCAGCTGTAGAAGACACTTGGTCTTGTGAACAGAGTGATTCTAAAAGTATTGCAGGGATCTTTTTCAGACTTTGTATATTTGCATAGTGCATTAACTCAAGTATTTAACAGATCTATATCAGCATTTTGCAGACATATTGTAAGGTTGAATGTCTGAACCTGGTCAGGTTTTGAGATAAATTGGAGTAAAACTGAAACAACAGTCCTTAGTGATAGTAGAGAGAAGGAAGAGATGATTAGAGGTGTTTCCTTGTGAACAGGATCAATTAGTCATTGTTTACTCTACCCCATTTGATCTTTGATGGTTTTTTTTATTACTGCTTCACAAAAACATTAAATGAATGAAAATCTATACCTACAAATGTACAATTGGTCATATCCAAAACTGCAACGACAGTGGGCAGCAAAATTGGAACTGCCAGGAGAGTGTAGCCTGGAGTGATAACAGCGCCTGCAGCCACTGTCTTGTATACATAGATCTTCTATGGATCTTTTAAACACTGATATTCCCTGAACCTTTGTACATAATTTTAAAACTGTGGGGCGTAAGATTTTCTGAATCTTCTGGAATAAAATTTATATTGATTGATTGCTAGCTTCCCTGTTTGGCAAATCTTTTCCGTGTGGCACAGATAGATGGCTTTGCTCGGACCCCAAGTTGCCCTCTCAGTTGTGTGTGATGTCTAAAAATGAGTGATTAGCCATATTTACTCATTCATCAGTCAAGATAGTCCCTTCTTCACCATTATTACTTGTTTTCTGATGACCCTCCTCCTTTTTTCACATTCAACATCCAGGCAACTATGTAGTTTGGAACTCAATGTGGTTTGGAACTCAATGTGGTTTGGTTCAGTTCAGCTTGCCACACCTCAGCCCAGGTTTCCTCCTTCTCTAATGCATTTTCCCATCTTGACCAAGCTTTCTGCTGTGTCATTCCCACCACCCAGCATGATCTGTTCTCTTCCACTGCTGCTCTCCTCCATCTGGACCAGGTGATTTTCCCTTTGGTGGTTAAGGTAGGACTCAGAAGGATCCTAGTCCAGCTCAGACTTGCATCACCACTCCCATCATTATCTTGTGACACAGCCTTGACTTGGCTTGCAAAATGGCTTCCTCCGCTCCCCATTACCTGCCAGCTCTGGCCACCTTTGGATCCCTTGACCCTCTGTACTGATCAATTCCCTGGCCCTTGTAACCTGGAGTGACTTCCCTAAGGACTTGAGTGGCAGTCATTGGTTTTGATGACCATATAGAGTGGTGCCTGCTCAGGCTCCTTGGGAGGCCTAGCCATCTCCAGAGATGTGTACAGGCACGTAATCTGTTCAGTTTTTTAATATTTCTGAGTGTTGCACTTTCCAAATAGATCTGTCTCCAGCTCAACCCCCCCCCCCCCCACCACACACACACTGTTCTGTTTTTCCATCAGCTGAGCCCCTATGCAATTCCTTGGTGCCCCACAGTTTGAATGCTTCCGATATGTAGTAGAGAT